GTACATCCCATACACCCTGTACATCCCATACACCCTGTACATCCCATACACCCTGTACATCCCATACACCCTGTACATCCCATACACCCTGTACATCCCATACACCTCGTACATCCCATACATCCCTACACCTTGTACATCCCATACATCCCTACACCTTGTACATCCCATACATCCCTACACCTTGTACATCCCATACATCCCTACACCTCGTACATCCCATACATCGCTACACCTCGTACATCCCATACATCGCTACACCTCGTACACCCTGTACATCCCATACACCACACCCTGTACATCCCATACATCTCTACACCTCGTACATCCCATACACCCTGTACATCCCGTACATCTCTACACCTCGTACATCTCTACACCTCGTACATCCCATACACCCTGTACATCCCATACATCTCTACACCTCGTACATCCCATACACCCTCTACATCCCATACATCTCTACACCTCGTACATCCCATACACCCTCTACATCCCATACATCTCTACACCTCGTACATCCCATACACCCTCTACATCCCATACATCCCATACACCCTCTACATCCCATACATCCCATACACCCTGTACATCCCATACACCCTGTACATCCCATACACCCTGTACATCCCATACACCCTGTACACCCCATACATCTCTACACCCTACATACATCCCATACACCCTGTACATCCCGTACACCCCGTACATCTCTACACCTCGTACATCCCATACACCCTGTACATCCCATACATCTCTACACCTCGTACATCCCATACACCCTGTACATCCCATACATCTCTACACCTCGTACATCCCATACACCCTGTACATCCCATACATCTCTACACCTCGTACATCCCATACACCCTGTACATCCCATATGGCAAGCAGCTATTCTGACAGGTCTGCAGGAGACCTGCATGGCATCAGCGATCTTACTGATCACTGGTGCAATGCTGTCCAGGCTCCTGCAGACAAAAATAATAAATGCACAATATTTTTTACCTGCAAAAAAAAAAAAATGTGCATTTATTTATTTTTTTGTCCAAAAAGTGAATTTATACTTTAACCCCTTGGCGCCGGCGCCTCCCGGCTCTTTAAGGGTTTCAGAAGCCGGGGGGGGTGGGGTTTAGGGTCATGTGACTGCCGTGACACACCGGTCACATGATCGGAAAAGGTCCCAATCGAAAGAGGAGATCGGGATTTTTCCGTGAGTACCGGACGTGTGTGCTGGGAGCGCGCAGGGTGCACGCTTTCAGCACATATGTTCTTTTTTAATAGGATGCAAATGTCTAGGCCCAGACGCCGGGAGGCCACACATTTGCGTTCAGCCGGTGTGAAGAGGTTAAGTTAACGACACCCCGAAAGCGGTCCGCAAAACGTGGTGCGATGTGCAGAATCGGATCCCATAGGTGTGAATACCCCGTGCGATCCGAATCTAGCGCGGACCAAAGAAGGGTCCTGCACATTTTTGGTGCAGTGCGATTAGAGCCATAGAGAATGTACAGCTCTGATCACACCGCACACAAATCACATGTGATCTGCAGAGGAATGCGGTGCGGTTCCTGTGCGAATCACATGCGATATACCGCACCGCACATATGTGAACCTGGCCTTAAGGTGGAGCTCCGCCCTAAAGGGGAATTTCCGCTTTAAGCCTTTGTCCCCCGCTCCTCAGTAAGGATTTGCACCTTTTGGGGAGCGGGGTACCCAAATTTGACAGCTACCCCCACTACCCCTGTGATCGCCTAGGTAGGGTCCTGCGCGTTTTTTGGTGCGGTGCGATTAGAGCCATACATAATGTACGACTCCGATCGCACCGCATGCAAATCGCATGTGATGAGGAACGCGGTGCTGTTCCTGTGCGAATCAAATGCGATATACAGAGCCGCATGTATGTGAACTAAATTGGATCGCCATCCTTCAGTCCTGCACAGTTGTACCGGCTCCTCTCCTGGACTGAAATGGTTTCCTCTGATGTCACTGCACACTGTGAGCTTCTCACAATGTGCATTAGAAGCTGCAGCAAGTCAGACAGAGCTCCACCTCATTTCCTGGCTGAAGGACGTCCAGCGTCATCTAGCACTTTCCTCTCCAGCCTGACTGTCCCTGGCCTCGCCCCTTTCCTTCATTGGATTTCAGTTCTTTCCATCGTGAAGGCTCATCATCACATCTGGGTGTTACCTAGGGTGGTCTGGATGCAGATAAGGTCCACCTAGGAACGCCCACTCCTCCAGACTGACACCCACCCATCAAGGCGGTTTGATATTTGCATAACTCCTCCCAAGAGCCAGCCCACTGCTTGCATCCGGACTGAGGGCTCCTGAGAGGAGTTATGCAAAGATCACAATGCTTTGATAAGTGGATGTCAGCACTGGGCAGACTTCTGTGATGTTTTCAGGAAGTTATGTGCAGCCTCTCCCACAAGCCATAATTTGCCTCTATAGCATTGAGACGAGCAGAGACCCAGTGGTGATGTCATCAGATCTAGAAAAAAAAGGCAGGTAATATTTAAAAATGTTTCTCAACCTTTTGGCTAAGATCAAGTGTAGTATGTGTTCTTATCAGTGTCCAGTAGGGGCGCTCCACCATCATTCCTGCTTGCGGGGATGATTGGTTGTATAGTACCCCTGCTGGTAGGATGGGGGTCCTGATGGTTCGTACAGGCTGGAACAGAAATTGAGGCGCCCACAGGCTGCTGGGGCCCAGGAGTAATCCCCCCTGGAAAACCGGAGGGGCCCAGTTCCTCCTGGTTGAATGGATCTACCTTGTCTGGCCAGGGGCTGGGGAAGGCAGAGAGTCTGCGAACCAGTGCCCTCCTGAGAGTGGTCGCCTCAGGGGTGCTCCTAGTAACACTTGGGTGTGGGACCCCACAGTGTGAAAAGGCACATGGTCACTGTGTTCAAACACTTTTCCTGCACTGCGCCTTTTATGACCGGGCCTTCTGGCTAAGTTCTGGGCAATTTTTGCTACAGGCCCAGGGCCTGGCCAGGGCACAATCTGCACGGCCACTTATTTATTTAATTTATTTTCTCCCACATTTGTCACTTTCCACTTTTGTGTGTGTTTTATTTCCTCACAGGATGGTAGGGTGTGGGTCCTCGGACCTGCCCTGAAGTCTAGGGGGAGGATGTGTGGCCTTTTGGTTCCTTCCTTCCCTGTCCCTAGGGGGGTTTTCTCTTTGGGAGAACCCCCTACCAAGTACTTGGTAGCTGGCTTCGGCTGGCCACAAGGAATGGGGTCCGCCAGGCCTTTTGGCTAGGCGGACCACATGGGAACCTTGTCCCTGTCAGGAGCTTCGTGCCCCGGGGGATCAGGGTAGAGGTCCTTCCCCTTCGGGGGAAGGACAAAGCACACCCCTAAGTGCACTTGTTTGGTGTCTTGCACTTGCACGTTTTTTGTGAACACTTACGGGTTTTTCATTTTTCGCACTTTCGTGGACTTAAAAAAAAAAAAATATTTAAAAATGTTTCTCGGCCTTTTGGCTAAGATCAAGTGTAGTATCTTTTCTTATCAGTGTCCGGTAGGGGCGCTCCACCATCATTCCTGCTTTTCGGCGAGGATGGTTGGCTGTATAGCACCCCTGCTGGAATGATGGGGGCTCTGAAGGCTAGTACTGGCTGGAACAGAAACCAAGGTGCCCACAGGCAGTTGGGGCCCGGGAGTAGTTCCTCTGGGAAAGCTGGAGGGGGGCCCAGTTCCTCCTGATTTGAACGGATCTACCTTGTCTGGCCAGGGGCCGGGGAGGCAGAGAGTCTGCGGTACAGTGCCCCCTGAGTGGTCACCTCAGGGGTGCTCCTAGTAGCACATGGGGGTGGGATCCCAAGTGTGAAACGTGCACATGGTCACTTTTCCTGCACTGCGCCTTTTAGGGCTAGGCCTTTTGGCTAAGTCCAGGGCAATTTTGATGCTACGGGCCTCAGGGCCCATCCAGGGCACAATTGCACGGCCACTTTTTTTTATTTTTATTTATTTAATTTATTTTTCTCCCACTGTTTGTATTACTTTTCACTTATGTGTGTGTTTCTTTCCACACGGATGGAGGGTGAGGGTCCTCGGGCCTGCCCTGAAGTCTAGGGGGAGGATGTGTGGCCTTTTAGTTCCTTCCTCCCCTGTCCCTGGAGGGGTCTCTCTTCATGGGAGCCCCCTGACCTAGTACTTGGTGGCTGGCTTCAGATAGCCACAAGGAAAGGGGTCCGCCAGGAAACCTCAGTCCCTGTCAGGAGCGTCGCGCCCCAGGCAATCAGGAGAGGTCCTACCCCTTCGGGGTGGGGTGGTCAAAGCACACTCCTAAGTGCACTTTTTTTGTGTTGGTTTTGCACTAGCATGTTTTTTGTTCACTTTCGGGTTTTTGTTTTTCACACTTCTGCAAACTTAATAAAAAAAAATGTATTTAAAAATGTTGATGGGGGGGAAGGCAAAATATAATGAGATTAAACTTCAGCTTTGATTTTGTTTATACAAAGAAAAGCAATGTATTGAGGGGGCGAACGTAGCGGTAAATCTGCCACATGGGAGGTGACGGGGCCGGGCTTCACCATAATCTGCATTCGTAATATTCCGAGTGATCCGGAACAGGAGGCAGCTCTTCTTTTTTTTTTTTATATATATATATTTTTCGCTGATGACAGAAGATTTTTCCGATGGGTTCCAGTGAAGTGACTAACGATCCTCCTAATGACGGCCGTCGTGGTGGAAGAGCAATCTCTCAGAGTGCAGAATAATGCCTCGCCAGCACAACCGCAGAGCGCGGACCGTCACGTGACCGCATTAGAAGACGCGGAGGGTTACAGTCAGGCTGCCGTCGGCCACTTCTTTTCCTTTGAGCTGAAGATTGCTGGCAGCGGCGCGGGAGGTCACTCCGGAATCTGAGCTGCATTGGGTGTAATGTCTAGGTCAGGCCTTAAAATTTCAAGTCCTGAGCTACTAGCCATGCCTTAAGAGTTACTCGCCACCAACAAACACACACAAACAGACACCTGTACACACACGCAGACATGTACATACACATACACAGACATGTACATACACCGAGACACATGTACACACACACAGACACGTATACATACACAGGCATGTACATACACAAAAATAAACACGCACAGACACATGTACGTACATACACACAAACATGCACACAACACAGACATGTGCACACACACATACATGTACATACACGCAGACACATGTACATGCATACACAGACACACACGTACACACAGACACACACACACACACACACACACACACACACACACACACACACACCCCCTATAAAAAGTAGCAGTACTTTGTTGTTCACTCACAGAGCCGGGTACTGCACCCTAGGGGGAGGCAGAGAGCACAGCACACACTCCTTCCTTTGCTTTCACTGCGCTCAGCTATTGAGCGGTCTGTCGGCTCCCAGTGCCAATGACAGATCTGACCTGAGCTCCGAGCCTGCTCAGCAAGATGGCCCTGGGGGACACACTCGCCCCCAACATAATTTCCACTCGCCATTGGCGAGCAGGCGAGTGAAAATTTCAAGCCCTGGTCTAGGTGATATCATGACTACAAAGCGGTGGTGTAATGTGGACGAGCAGCATTTCCTGCCGGGGCCCATGATGTCATTACATTATTTTTTGTTTTTTTTCCTGCAAAAAAGCATAATCACTAATGAATGTTGTTTTGCATGCAGTTTTATTTACCGTGGTTGTAAACCCTTCCATATACCAAGGGAAGTGACCGGCCTCAGGTGATACACAGATTAAACAAATCCTACACAAGTTGTACCTGTGTATCTGTAGCCCTCTTTCCTCTACAGCCGTTCAAAGTACAGAATTTATACAGCTTGTCTGAGCTTCCAGAAAGAAAGAGGCGGAGAGCTGAAGTTGCACTCTGCAGAGCTCTGCAATACCTACAATACAAAGTAAAATCACTACTGAATGTTGTTTTGCTTGCAGTTTTATTTACAGTGGTTGTAAGATTGTAAACCCTTCCATATACCAAGGGACGTGACCGGCCTCAGGTGACACAGAGATGAAACAAATCCTCCTACATGAGTTGTACTTGTTTAGCTGTAGCTCACTCCTCCACAGCCATTCAAAGTACATAATTTATACAGCTTGTCTGAGCTTCCAGAAAGCAGGGGGCGGAGAGCTGAAGTTGCACTCTGCAGAGCTCAGCGAGAACTGATTGGAGGAAGGAGACACACACCCCCTTCATACAGCACGCAGGAACAGAGCTGCGGCTGTCAATCACAGGCTGTGTGCTGGAGCTCCCTCCACTGTCACCTTTTTATCTCTTGGTGTAGGGAAACATGTCAAAAGTGGCTCATACTGATAGCAGAGAAACAAAGCAGCAGAGAGAAATGACACTTGGTGCTCTGGATTGAGACACGTACAAGCTATAAAGGGATATGCTTTGTTCATATTTTATGTCTGAGGTTTACAACCACTTTAACCGCCTCCCACCCATCATATAGTACAATGACGGGCGCAAGGCGGTTCTCTCGTTCTGAGAGGACGTTATATGACGTCCTCCCATTCTAACCGTGCATGCGCGGCTCCAGGAGCGTGCGGCAATCGGCGGTGCGCTGTGTCCCTCGGACACAGCGGATCAACGGAAAGAGCTGAAGATGTCGGCTCGGTCATGTGATCAGCTCTGTCCAATCACAGCTGATAGCATTTAAATAGGGAAATGCTGGTTATCGCCATTTCTCTCCTCAAGAGCTGTCACGCTGACAGAGGAGAGCGGAGCCGGTAATCGGCATTCCTCGGAGGGGACATGTGCACTGACCATCACATATCAGTGCCCATCTGAGCTGCCTTTCAGTGTCACCAATCAGTGCCATATATGAGTGCTGCCTTTCAGTGCCATCAGTAATGCCTGTCAATGCCCGTCAGTGCCACATACCAGTGCCATCTATCAGTGTCCATCAGTGCAGCCTATCCGTGTCCATCAGTGCAGCCTCATTAGCGCACATCAGTGAAGGAGAAAAATCACTTACTTACAAAATTTTATAACAAAAAGTAAGAAAAAACTTTTTTTTTCAAAATTTTCAGTGGTTTTTGGTTTGTTTAAGAAAAAATAAACCGAGAGGTGATTAAATACCACCAAAAGAAAGCTCTATCTGTCTCAAAAAAATGATAAAAATTTCATATGGGTACAGTGTTGCATGACCGTGCAATTGTCATTCAAAGTGCAACAGCGCTGAAAGCTGAAAATTGTCCTGGGCAGGAAGGGGGTAGAAGTGCCCGGTAGGCAGGAAGGGGGTAGATGTGCCCGGTAGGCAGGAAGGGGGTAGAAGTGTCCTGTGGGCAGGAAGGGGGTAGAAGTGCCCGGGAGGCAGGGAGGGGGTAGAAGTGCCCAGGAAGGGGGGGAGAAGGCCCAGGGAGGGGGGGTAGAAGTGCCCGGGAGGCAGGGAGGGGGTAGAAGTGCTCAGCGGGCAGGAAGGGGTAGAAGTAGAAGTGTCCGGTGGGCAGGAAGGGGGTAGAAGTGCCCGGTAGGCAGGAAGGGGGTAGAAGAGCCCGGTAGGCGGGAAGGGGGTAGAAGTGCCCGTCAGGCAGGAAGGGGGTAGAAGTGCCCGGCAGGCAGGAAGGGGGTAGAAGTGTCCGGTGGGCAGGGAGGGGTTAGAAGTGCCCGGTAGGCGGGAAGGGGGTAGAAGAGCCCGGTAGGCGGGAAGGGGGTAGAAGTGCCCTGTAGGCGGGAAGGGGGTAGAAGTGCCCGGGAGGCAGGAAGGGGGTAGAAGTGCCCGGCAGGCAGGAAGGGGGTAGAAGTGCCCGTCGGGCAGGAAGGGGGTAGAAGGTCGGGCAGGAAGGGGTAGAAGTGCCCGGCAGGCAGGAAGGGGGTAGAAGTGCCCCGGCAGGAAGGGGGTAGAAGTGCCCGGCGGGCAGGAAGGGGGGTAGAAGTGCCCGGCAGGCAGGAAGGGGGTAGAAGTGCCCGGCAGGCGAGGGGTTAAAGACGTAGTCCACACACAAGTGATATTTCAGTATCTGGTAATGTGGAAATTAAAGAAGAATTCCAGCCTGAACCTATCTAGTCTCGGGGTAGATTCGTGACAGATGTGGGGCTGTGTTGGGAGCGCAGTCCCACTGCACAAGGTGAAATGCATTGTCTTCTGTGTACCGGATTCTCAGCACTGGGTTGCAGTGCGATGCAGGCGATGTGTGCTGAAAAGAGTATATATATATCACATGTGCAAGGCAATCCATCGCCTCACCTGGTCAGTTAAACTCGATGAAATGTCTGTGTACTGTTTCAATAAAGTTTGTTTTAAAAAAAAAAAAAAAAAAACAGCGCAATGCACTGAGATGAGCGCTTCTACACTGCGCTGATTCTGCCGGACCGTACAGCACAGCAGCTGCTTCATTGTAATGGATTGGCTATTGTGAATGAACCTTTTAAAACAAATGCCCCCTCTTCCCTCCGAACACCATTGCTGCCTAACCTGTGTAAGGAGGAAAAAAAATCCATATAGCCGTATTTTCCGGTGTATAAGGCGACTGTGATCACATGATGGGGGCCCCACACAGAGGTCCCGTCCGACGATCAGTGTTCCATTGTGTCCAGAGGAGACAGCGGGCACCGGAACGCGGTGCTGCGTGCTCCCAGGAAGTGCGCGCAAGCAGGGGGCCGGAAAAGCCGTTTATAAACAGTCACCCTCCCCTGCAGTGCCACCGTCCGGCTGTTTATAAACAACGGCCGGACAGGAAGTGGTTAATAAAGACCGCTGGCTGCTTCCTCCTCTCCTTGTGCAGGGTGGCTGGTCTTGTCTCCGCCCCCTCCTTCTGTAGTGGGTGGAGCTTGCTGGGTTCCTCTCCACATCTCTGCTCAGGCTGCATACAGCACAGTGATGATGTCACTGCTAGGTTTTACAAGGTAATATCTGTGTTTGCAAAGGAATTTATGTACTATGAGTCTGTTGAGGAATGTTTTTTTTTTTTTCTGGGAGGCCAAAGTTCTACTTTAGTTTTCATCATGGCTGCTTGGACTTTGGTCCATTTTTTTTCCCTTTTCTACAGCCCCCCCCCCCCCCCCCCCCCCGTTGTATCCCCGTGTTGGTGTGTAAAGGGTTAGCCGCCCAGCAGAGATGGAAATGTGAGGTACAATTAGTGTAATGAGTGTGATTTGGTTGGAGGCCAGCTGTTTAATATCGTAATGGCTGGAGACAGATGGGAGGGCGATCAGCTCCCCGGTCCAGCTCAGCGCCCCCGGCTCCATTAATAATAATGACTGTGAGGGATGTGAGGCCGGCGCTGCGGATTATAATGTGTGGTGTTCACTCCATCATCGGGTTCTGCAGACCCGGACCGCCGTCCTATTATCCTATTAAAGTGCTTAGAAAGCCTAAACACTAATGCATTTCTTGCATGAACGCACAAAAAAGGTTTTGGTATCAGCATCCTCCCTCTCCACTTTTACCACCCCCCCCCCCCCAATTGTTATCTGAGCCCCATCCTGTCTGCAGCATTTAACGTGTTATTAAACCTGCAGCAGTAAAATCAGTCTTTAAAAAAAGTCTGTAAAGCATGCTGGTTATACTCACTGCGGGACCTAAGGGGTTAATCCTCTGCATTGTGTAAAAGGCTGTTTGATCCTGTCTTCTCTGATCCTCCCCTTCTACTGTCCCCAATCCATCTGCTGATAGTACAGAGCGCTAGAAGTCACTCTGCACATGCTCAGTTTGGTGTGTATTGCTAGAGGTTTTTTTTTTTCTTTGGGAGAGTGTATGTGATCAGCACAGTCCAGACAGAGGGTCAGGGGGTATGCAGCCTCATAGGACAGTCAGAGGAGAATGAAAACGCTTTCAAGCTTTCACCAGTACTCAGGTGAACACTGATAGAAGTCACAAGACTGCTCTATACTGCTGATGACAAAAGGGATTTAGCAGTTTATATTTACTAAAATAAATGTATTTCCATGTTCTGTGTACTGTGGGAGACCAGATATAGTGAATGAAGGGTCCGGGAGACCGGATGTAGTGAGTGCGGGGTCCGGGGAGACCGGATATAGTGAATGCGGGGTCCGGGGAGACCGGATGTAGTGAATGCGGGGTCCGGGGAGACCAGATATAGTGAATGCAGGGTCCGGGGAGAGCGGATATAGTGAATGCGGGGTCCGGGGAGACCGGATGTAGTGAGTGCGGGGTCCAGGGAGAGCGGATATAGTGAATGCGGGGTCCAGGGAGAGCGGATATAGTGAATGCGGGGTCCAGGGAGAGCGGATATAGTGAATGCGGGGTCCGGGGAGACCGGATATAGTGAATGCGGGGTCCGGGGAGAGCGGATATAGTGAATGCGGGGTCCGGGGAGAGCGGATATAGTGAATGCGGGGTCCAGGGAGAGTGGATGTAGTGAATACGGGGTCCGGGGAGACCGGATGTAGTGAATGCGGGGTCCGGGGAGACCGGATATAGCGAACGCGGGGTCCGGGGAGAGCGGATATAGCGACCGCGGGGTCGTGGGGAGAGCGGATATAGCGAACGCGGGGTCGGGGGAGAGCGGATATAGCGAACGCGGGGTCCGGGGAGAGCGGATATAGCGAACGCGGGGTCCGG